ATTGACTCTCAATATACAGACAATTTTATATAGTCTCCTTCCTAACATCTTAAGGCCTCTTCAAGGAACTCTAGTTTTTTTTAACGACTCCTTTTTGAGGTCTATACATATGTTGGTTTATAGATGAAAACAATATTAGTGATATAACTCAGTACACGGTCAGTCCGTATGTGTAATGTGGTTTGATTCGAGAATAATTAATATGAAACTCGGTTATTTATTGTTTTCAAATTAAATTATACATTATAATAGTAATAATAAATATACCTGGACAAATAACACAGCGCCATCTAGTGCAATGGTAAGCAGAGTGTTATGGGTACATAACTATTGATATATACACTTAGATATTTTTTTGTTAATACCTATACCATCAATAATATACATAGAAAACATGCAGATCGATACAAACAATTATACTTATGAATACAAATATTTGCACTGTCAGAGGAATCGAATGTAAATTAATGAATAAAGTTCTTGTATCGTTAGATTCTAATTCCGTCCAATTTTGGGTAGTAAAGTATTCTCAAATTACGTTAAAATAACACAGATTAACACTTAACGGGAAATAGGGTTAATTTTATCAAAATTATATCGTTAGATAATCGCTTTGCCCAGGCAACACTGGAGGAGTTTACGAAATTTCAATTTTTCACTTTTTGGTAACACTTTAAAGGAAAATCACGATTTTTTTAGTTATTGTAAATTGAAAAATATTAATAAATTTGAAAAAAACTTTCCAGCATTACTTCGTAAATTATATAATAAATATTTGAGTGCCTCGATGGTCAAGCGGTTTGGCACACCGCTTTACTTCGGATGTTCGAGGGTTCGATTCCTCGCATAACATTTGTTCATGAGTATGATTGTTTGTCTCGGTGCTGTTTATAGAAAAATAAAACTTTCCAGTGTTACTTCGTAAGTTATATACGGAGATAATGTTCAAAATTTGAAAACAATGGGTGCAGTAGTTTTGAAGTTATGAGTGGCGTCGACTTTGATAACATAAGTTGTGGGAAAAGTGTGTGGGAAAAGAGTAGTGTTCAACATAAAATAAAAAAAAAACCATGTAAGACCCTATTCCTCCCTTAAAGTATAGAGAATCTCCTCCATTTCATTGATAACATGCTGAAAACACTGGAAATATATAGCGCTAGGATTCGTCCTAATAAAAATCAGTGTTACATAAACGTGATATTCCGTTTCACGGAATAAATGTTTCTAACCGTAAACTACGGTACAAATAATGTTTACAGTTCAGCACGTCCGGACGTTGAGCATTTGACAAATTGCGGTGGAAGCGAGTCAGTCACTTTGATATTATGTTATGAAGCCATTCTATAGAACAGAATAGAAGCTTCTTTATTCAAATAAACTCAAATTTTAGCACTTTTGATTAGTCATAAAATGTACTTACTTTTTTTAGTCTACCGCTCATTTGGAAAGCAATGTCATCACAAGAAGAACGAGCAAGAAACGAGCAAGTTGTTCTTTTAAAAAATTGCTGTAACTGTAAATGTGACGGCCTCGGTGGTCTAGCGGTTTAGAACACTGCTTTAATTCCGATGTTCGCGGGTTCGATTTCTAACACGGCACAAACATTTGATGATTGTTTGTATCGCGTGATAATTCCGATGGTCGCGGGTTCGATTCGTATTCATGAGTATAATTGTTTGTATCGATATGGGTGTTTTATATGTATAATATGTATGTAATTACAATAAAAAATATACATCTATGTATTTGTATCAGTTATCTAGTATCCATAACACAAGCTTTACTTGCTTAACTTAGATCTAGAGGGCGCTGTGTGAATTGTCCTGATATTGTTATTAAGTTGAAACGTGTGAATACAAAATAAAAATTAGCACATAAGTGCTAACGAATTATCATTAGAGTCAAAATAAACACAACATACACACAACCAACTGGTTGAATAAATAAGAGTAAATCGTAGCAACTAGAGCAGGACCTAATTGTTGTTAACTTTACATTTTTAAATTGAAATGTGTAAATACAAATTAAAAATTAGCACTAATTCGTTAGAGTCCAAATATTGAATATACTACCAACTGGTTAACTAAATAAGAGTACATCAACCGTAGCCATTAGAGCAGAACCTAATTGTTGTAACTTCTACTTGAAATTTTTAGTTGAAATGTGTGAACATAAACTATAAATTAGCACTAATTCATTAGAGTCCAAATATTGAATATACAACCAACTAGTTGACTAAATAAGAGTCAATCAGTCGTAGCCATTAGAGCAGAACCTAATTGTTGTAACTTCAAGTTGAAATTTTTAAGTTGAAATGTGTGAATATAAACTATAAATTAGCACTAATTCATTAGAGTCAAAATATTGAATACACAACCAGCTGGTTGACTAAATGTGTGAATATAATTGTTGTAACAAGTTGAAATTTTTAATAATGTGTGAATATAAACCACTAATTCATTAGAGTCAAAATATTGAATACACAACCAGCTGATTGACTAAATAAGAGCCAATCAGTCGTAGCCATTAGAGCAGGACCTAATTGTTGTAACTTCAAGTTAAAGTTTTTAAGTTGTAATGGGTGAATATAAACTATAAATTACCACTAATTCATTAGAGTCAAAATATTGAATACACAACCAACTGGTTGACTATATAAGAGCCAATCAGTCGTAGCCATTAGAGCAGAACCTAATTGTTGTAACTTCAACTTGAAATTTTTAAGTTGAAATGTGTGAATATAAACTATAAATTAGCACTAATTCATTAGAGTCCAAATATTGAATACACAACCAGCTGGTTGACTAAATAAGTTGAAATGTGTGCCAATCAGTCGTAGCCATTAGTAGCCAGAATCTAATTGTTGTAACTTCAAGTTAAAATTTTTAAGTTGAAATGTGTGAATATAAACTATAAATTACCACTAATTCATTAGAGTCAAAATATTGAATACACAACCAACTGTTTGACTAAATAAGAGCCAATCAGTCGTAGCCATTAGAGCAGAACCTAATTGTTGTAACTTCAACTTGAAATTTTTAAGTTGAAATGTGTGAATATAAACTATAAATTACCACTAATTCATTAGAGTCCAAATATTGAATACACAACCAGCTGGTTGACTAAATAAGAGCCAATCAGTCGTAGCCATTAGAGCAGAACCTAATTGTTGTAACTTCAAGTTAAAATTTTTAAGTTGAAATGTGTGAATATAAACTATAAATTACCACTAATTCATTAGAGTCAAAATATTGAATACACAACCAACTGTTTGACTAAATAAGAGCCAATCAGTCCTAGCAATTAGAGCAGAAAGGCAACGCTGTACAAATAGTCATATCCATATTTCAATCGTACCGAATAATGTACACAATGCAACAAACGGATGAATGGATTCATGACAAGGCTCCTACGAGATCACTTAGACGTTTTGACTGAAAGGTTTGACATATTGGAAATTCTATTGGCTTTCCATTATTATTATAATGGTAACCTTTTCCCTTATAAGGGGATAAGGGAAACGGATTTCTTAGATCTATTTCCGAAACCTGGTATGTGTTAACTTTTTTATAGATGATAATAGGTCCTTCTGAATTCCATATACCATTTCAACGGGGATAGGAATTCACAATTGCAATCGCTTGAGGTGAGGTTCGGATCCCTAGTGGTGTCCTTAGACTAATGTCGTATCCGTGAGCTGGTTAAGACTTCTGAGTTTGCCTTCACCTGTACCATAGGTTTTTTAGCAAAGATTGCAAACCAGCATTTAAAGTACATAGATAAAATAAGCTTTATTCATAACATGCAATAAAGAAAAGTCATAATAATTATTGTCAACTGAAGTTTAATGACTATGGAAGAAAAACAAAGTAATATTACGAAATAATAAACGAATTAACTGAAAATAGCTTGTCTGTTGGTTGTTAATGTGGTTACTTTATATGCGGTCGAAGTGGGAGCGAGAGGTATACCAGCGAAAACTCATTACAATCTTTTAAATGATCTATTACTACTAGTAGTTACATGTTCTAACGTGTACCTAAAGTTGGACAGCAGGCTTCTACCAGATTCTTCTGGGCAGGGAGAGAAACACGAGCAGGAGATTTGTATTGATGTACGTCGGCAAGGGTCCCTTAGGCCTATACCTGACTCACAAGTCCCGGGAACTGTCCGGAGTTTCCTTCTCTGCCACAAATAAGTCCTGGCATCTACTCGGAGAATGTAAGGAATGCTCGTCTCAATGAATAAAAGTAAATCCTTTCGCGCTTTCGGCTAACTGAAGCTGAGGCCAACAATAGTAGCGTAGTTAAAAAGAAGATGGAAATCATTACGAATTCACCAGAAATTAACCTGATATGGTATTTTCCTGGACACTGCTACTAGTCCTAATTACAATAATCTTCTCTCCCCCCCTTTACGTTAATTTGATTACTCCTTTAGAGAATAGAAATTCGTGTAATTAATTTAATCGTTCATAATAGGCGCCTCCAGTTGCTGCAATGAGCCCCTTCATTATATAAGTTGTTGTAATATAGAACTCTGAAGTAAATAAATGTATTTTTTGCCAAAATCCAATTCTACATGTATTCATGACGTTGAACAAATTTCCTTAAGAAGTGGAAATTATATATGAGCTTTAAAACTGCACGTTATAATAATCAATTTAGTATAAAATGTCCAAAATTAATTCTTGAATTTATACTTTGTTTCATGGTTAGATGAGTATTCTACCTGGGTTTTGGATTGGCCCTTTACGACTAAGCCTATACCTATATAAAAAGCAAGTGCTCGCCAAATTTGATGTTAATAAAGTTGGGTGTTATAAAATTTTATACTAATTACATTAATTAGGGAACCTAAACAAAGTTTTATGATAATGTAATGTAGTAAATTTGCCAACTTTTAACAATGCAATAAGAGTCGTGACTTTGTTGCAAACAGTTAAAAATCTTTAAGTCGCCATTAATTCCGAACTTGATTTAGATTTTTTATTGTTCCAGGTGCAGAACGGCGTGATGATGGATTGACGTTTGGTGGATCCCCCTACATGGAATGAAACTCACAAAAATGGAAACTTGAACAGCCAAGAAAATGACTAACGTTAAATTAAAATTAATGTTTTTTCTTCTAAACTCCCTCTTGACAGCTGACATAATTCACGCTAGACCCTATTCCGACGGCAATGCTACGGATATTATTATTAAATTTAGTAATAATAATAACACTTTCAATATACCAGTAGATTCTAATTCTGATACATTAATCGTTGCAAATGATGACGAAACTCCGGAAGAAACTAACAAAAGTTCCAACCATCAAATGGAAGCTATAGTTAACGCCGAACAAGACAGAGACGTTGCGATGTCAGAGAAAGTAATGAAGGATCAAATAAGTATTGCAGATGCGGATAAGAAAGATTCTTCAGAAAAAAAATTTAACATATCAAGCTCTACTATGGAACAAATTATAGACTCGGAAACTGATAGGGAAGAAACTCTGACAGATATTTTGTTTAGACCGGACGCGGAATTTGATGAGGATATACCTAGGTTTGAGTTTTTAATCGCTGCAAGAATTAATGAGAGTGATACGAATAGAACAGTTAAAGATACTGGGTATAGTGATAATAGGTTAGACAGAGGAAGAAACAGCAGTGATGTGTTCAAGAAGGTAGACTATGTAGAATTAGTGGAAGTGCTGAAGCCGAAAATAAGTGAGAATAAGAGCGCGTATTCAATGAACATTACTGGCCATGAAGTGGATAACGATCTAGCACCAGACACAAGTGAGTATCATGTTCCCAATTACCAATGCAATGTGCCCAAATCATACATTTTCTATATTTGTTACCGGATAAAATAAATTTTAGGACAAAGTACTTATTCCAAGGTTAAATCAGTTCATACTAGTTCTAGAAGACTAGTTCATAGAAGAAACTAGTTGAACTTAGGCTGACTTAGTTAAGCCTAATATGAATAAGTGCACTTAGCATAGTATAAACGGGATTGGCCTAGTCTATAAATAGGGAATAATAAAGAACGAAAGAATGAATAATTAGGTTAGGTTCAGTTTTTTAATTCATTCATCTAGATAATGGAATGGTGCACTCGGTTGCGCTAACGGCCTACGCTGGCGGGGCACCAGTGGAGGATAATAAGATGAGCATAAGGCCAGGTCAGTTAGTAGTCATCTAAATAATATTTGCTATCTGTGATAGATGATATTATATTATTTTATGTTTAATTTGTTGGTAAATACTACTACTAAAATATGTAAAATACATCGATGCAAAAACAGGTTTATACAGTTTTCTTAAGAAACAAAATATCTACAGGTTTTTTATTGTAAAAAGTGGCTTTTAAGTGGCTAGCGAGATATCATGAAGTCTATAACTGGTACCTATGACATTGTTTTGAGAGTCTGAACGTACTTAAATATAAATAAAACTGAAAATGTAATAGTAGTGGTAAAAAATATTGTACATAGTCTCACACATGTTAATTGTAGTGGAATTAAACAAAATAATATAAACCCTTCGAGTAGTGAAATGGACTTCCGCAAAATAACACCTAATTCGATTAAATATACTGAAAAAAATGTGTTATGTATGTAGGAAGTAAAAAAAAAAGTGCAATACTGAAGCAGACTTCGTGGCAGCTAGCCAAGATAGTTACCAGACACAGTGCTACAGTTTTGTGAACTAAAAAGTTCTAGACAAACTGCTGACAGTAGATTTTTGCAATTACATATCAGTAGTACATCTTTACTAGTATAAAACAAAGACGCCGTTGTCTGTTCGTTTATATCTTTTAAATTACGCAATGGATTTTAATGCAGTTTTCGGCAATAGATAGAGTGATTAAAGAGAAAGGTTTAAATGTATAATACATGCGTGTTAGAGTATAGAACAAGCCGAGAATTTCAAAGATTTGTAATGTAGTCTATAAATGATACAGTGTGTCTCATAAAACAAATCGAATCATATCGAATTAAGTAATTTGCGAAAGTCCATTTCACCACTTAATGTATTTAAATTGTTTTGTTTAATTCCACTACAATTAGCATGGGTGAGATCACAAATATTCAGTGCGGAAACTTGACTACAATAATAAACTTGGAAACTTTGATACCGCTACGATCTACTCTAATTGTGATCAAATTCCGACCGCTATTGAGTCTTCACCTATATTGCGACACGTAATGCCTGAACGAGGCATCAGCAGGCATTGAATAGAGTTCGCATATAGCTTGGAAGACTAGCGTTTCTGTTCAATGCCTGCTGATGCCTCGTTCAGGCATTACGTGTCGCAATATGGGTGAATACTCAATAACGGTCAGAATTTGATCACAATTAGAGTAGATCGTAGCATTATCAAAGTTTCCAAGTTTATTATTGTAGTCAAGTTTATGCACTGAATATTTGTGATCTCACACACGCTATAATAATATAAATCTATCAGGTAGTGAAATTTAAAGTTTTTTAACTATTTCATTATTAAAGTTAAATATTTCTAGCTTTCTGTATTTATTATAATTGTTTAATTGAATATCATTGCTGGTGTGTGTTGGCATGTGACCTGTCGCAGTTTTATCCGTGTTCTCAGGTTTCACGGATGTGCAGACTTTGTTCCTGGCTTGCTTCGGGACCCTGATACCGCTGCTTGCCGTACTCTTTGCGACTCTCCTCATCAGGTTTGTATTTTTTTTAATTATTGATATAGAAATCGTGCACAAGGTACCGCTAACACAGAATTTTGAAATTGGATTTTCAGAATATTCTTGAAAACGTATTCCGAACAACATTTATTTAAAAGAGCAACACGCATTATTCTTACTCATTGTTTTTGTAATTAATTAAAGAATTAGGAATTAAAGAATTTATTTAAACCAAAAACAAAGTTATAACAATAACATATTAAATGTAAACAGCTACATTAGTTTACAAAAAAAACTGTGTTGCCGTTATTTGCGCCCATCTCCAGAGCATTGTATACAATTTAAATAAAAACAAATGAAAATAAATGAATATTACTCCTTAAGAACATTTAGAGAAAGACAAAGTACATATATAAAATAAAACAAATGATATTTATAATTTATGAGCATTAGAATAAGTGTGTGTGAATGATCAAAAGTACTTATATTATGTTTATTTGAATAAAGATTATTTCTATTTCTATTGACATCGTTCGTTCAATAATACGTGTATAAATAACACAGAGTTATAATACCAATATAGAGAATCGTTTCGGCACTGAGTCGAGTATTTCTAAGCCGTGATAAGAGTGCTATCCACGCGAGGCTGGACGTGCGATATTATTGGATCCATTTTATGAACTAAACGCTCTGTTTTCTATTATTTTTATTAGTAACGGACCTAGTAATTAATAATAATAATAACACTCACACGCACTCACATGCGCACACGTCGCGCGTCATGCGCACATGCGCACATGTCGTGAGTATACGACTCACATACAGCACTCCCCTCCGATCGATTCCCCGTCCAATTCAAACGGGGACCGATGTTATGACGGCCTGAGCCGAGGTTCGAACCCCTAGCGGTGTCCTCAGACTAAAGTCGTATCCGTCTATACTCACATACAGCACTCCCCTCCGATCGATTCCCCGTCCAATTCAAACGGGGACCGATGTTACGACGGCCTGAGCCGAGGTTCAAACCCCTAGCGGTGTCAAGTCGTATCCGTCAGACGGGAGTTCGCCTACAGCCGCTCCATAAGTCCTTCCGCGGGTTTGGAGCATCATCTGCACTCGCCGCCTATTGTCCGGTGAAGCTGTAAAGGCCAGCTGCGGTCAATAGCATTAGAGTAGTCCAAAAAAAAAATCACATTGCACTTACTTGGTTTTGGCCCGTAAGTGTGGTATACGCTGCAAAGCGTAAAAATCCAACAAAACAACCAAACAAAATATATCAAGAATAATAATAATATATCAGGAGTTCTCCTCAGCAGGTAGGTAGCTTAATTTGGGACTAGACTGCGGTGTGTGATAATTCATACAGCGCCATCTAGAGCTTGTGTTATGGGTACTAGACAACTGATGTGAATACATAGATATTTTTTTTGGAAGTACATACATATTATACATAGAAAACATCCAGACTAAGACACACAATCATTCTATGACTACAAATGGTTGTACATTATAAATTATAGAGGAGATATATAAATTGTAATAATAATAATAATAATCTCAGGACAATTCACACAGCGCCATCTAGACCTAAGCTAAGCTACTAGGGTACTAGATAACTGATACTAATATATAGATATTTATTTTCGTAAATACATACATTATATACATAGTAAACACCCAGACCGATACAAACAATTATACTCAAGAATATAAAAGTCTGTGTCGTGCGAGGAATCGAACCCGCGACCATCGGAAGTAAGGCGATGTGCTAAACCACTAGACCACCTAGGCTGTCATATAGGCTAAGGTTATGATCTACCATCAGGCTGGCCGTAGGTTTATCTGGCATTCCAGTTATAAAATAAAAAACTCAGGCATATAGACTTTGTAACAAGTTGAATTTCGGTAAAAACGTGAAAATACCAACTATATTGTTAACTGGGAAGTTAACTCTTGTTTTAATATTACCGTTAGTTCTGCCAGCTTCACAGACTCAGCCCCTCGAGTATCGATACGACCCCAGTTTATTTTCACAAGGAAAATCCTTTGAAGAACACTTACTTTATTTACGGCACACGATCCTCTTATATGCGGGATATAAATGAGTCGATATTAATTCTAAGCTACAAGTATTAACAATACAATATAGTTTTACATAACGACGACCTAGGTGGTCTGGCGGTCTAGTACACCGCTTTACGACCGATGGTCGCGGGTTCGATTCCTCGCACGGCACAAACATTTGTATTCATGAGTATGATTGTTTGTATCGGTCTGGGTGTTTACTATATATTACATAATATGAATGTATTTACAAAAAAATATCTATGTGTATGTATCAGTTATGTAGTACCCATAACACAAGCTTTAGCTAGCTTAACTTGGGTCTAGATGGCGCTGTGTGAATTGTCCTGAGATTATTAGATATTATATTATTAGATTTTCCATTCATCATCATCATCATCATCGCAGCCCGGAAGACGTCCACTGCTGGACATAGGCCTCCCCCAAAGATCTCCACGACGATCGGTCCTGCGCTGCTCGCATCCAATGCCTTCCAGCGATCTTGACCAGATCGTCGGTCCACCTTGCTGGAGGCCTCCCCACGCTGCGTCTTCCGGTCCGTGGTCGCCACTCGAGGACTTTACTGCCCCAACGGTCATCTGTCCTATGAGCTATGTGCCCCGCCCATTGCCACTTCAGATTTTCCATTACTTGCCTTTATTTAAAATATTTATTATATGTTTCTTAAATAGTTTGTTTGTTTGTAACACTTTATTGCACAATAAATACATTTAAATTTACTAAAGATACAACGATCTTAAAATATATATATATAAGATGTACAATAGCGGATAGTATGTAATAATTTCAAATCATACAGTAGTTAGTAGTTGACGAAACATGCTCCTTTGTGACAGACAGACTAACAAACAGAGTGGTATTATGATTATCCTTCTATACGTATTTGGTATGGAATCCTAAAGGCGAGACACTGAGAAAATTGTACCATTTCATAATACTATTTATATGTAAATGGTATTTGAAACAATTGTTATTGCTACCTTTCGCGATAAGATACGAGATGTACGTACGGAAAGGGTTCAGAAAATATATTGTAATGTAGTCAGTATTATCAGAATTAGAACATAAAGGTGCATAGAGGTCCCCGAGTATCTCTGGCGTATTGTTAGACCCACTTATTACTCTGTAATGTATTTATTATGTAATTATTCTAAAGTACGATTATTAATTCCAGTTAGTAGAATGACAAGTGCAACTGTCACTGATACAAAAAGGGTGACCCGCTACAATAGTGATGTTCTGCAATCAATACACTTAGACATTTAGTCACGCTTTATTTTATTAGGTATCAAAGCCATTTTTTTATTTTAAATAATTAATATATATCGTATTAAATAATACGATTGTAGAAATAAGGACCTTACCAGCATATTAAAATTTCTTACTATAACATTATTACAAAAGCTGGGAAAAAATGTAAAAAGAGATTCAGAGGAATTAATACTAGAATTTTTATTTATATAAAGGCAATTTGAGACTGAATAAAAAAAACGTAATCTCGACTAACTTTTAATTGTAAAAACTCGATTCTACCACATCACTATTTATTTGGAACTAAAAACCTGCAACACTAGAAATCATTCATTTTCCTCATTTTACTGACTGGAATTAATAATCTTACTTTACACAGTAAATCGTTAGTACAGGCGGGTGCACAATTCCATTATAGTCAATAAAATTTAGGTCAATAATTTTAAAATTTACTTACTTTTTTTTAAATAAATAAATATAAAAACTATCGCTCCTAAGAATATCCTTTAATTCTGGTCCCTGACAGGTCTAAGTAGCGATCTCTGAAATAGGACGAGCACAATAGATGTTGCAGTCGATCGAGTCGATGTGTAAGTCGCAGGTCCAAGCACCTGACAATAGTCCAAACAACCCAGAAAAAAAAATGTCCACCGGAATAGCAATACGTGAGTGATGTCACCGTTGTCATATGATAACCTGATAGTTGTTAGTGCTGTTCTTGTATACAGGTGGCAGTTACCATTTACCATCAGGTCTGCTTCGGTAAAATCGTTTAACATAATAACAGCTGCAGAACAGGCACATAGCTCGTAGGACAGATGGTCGTTGGGGCAGTAAAGTCCTCGAATGGCGACCGCGGACCGGAAGATGTAGCGTGGGAAGGCCTCCAGCACGATGGACCTACGACCTGGTCAAGATTGCTGGAAGGCGTTGGATGCGAGCAGCGCACGACCGATCGTCGTGGAGATTTTTGTGGGAGGCCTTTCTTCAGCAGTGGACGTCTTCCTGGCTGCAATGATGATGATGAAAATGAGAAGAATATTTAAAATTATAGCCAACATTATAAAAATGAATTCAATGACACATTGGCCGCGGTCCAGGAAAATTCTGTATACAGCTTCCAGCTAACTTACTCTGCTCTGAATATTTAAATTTGTACACTCAATTTAAGATATGTATTCTACTGTTAGATTATGATGCTGTTCAACTAGATTTAAAAATGATACGATGTTGTTGGTCGAGAGACGATGTATATTACAGATGATAATTGACTGACAATATGTACATAGAACTAATGATCTTATATACTAAATAACAATAGGAAAATGTAATGTGGGGTGACATAGTTTAGACACAGCAGTGCTTAGTAGACAATATTGTATTTGTCTTACTAGACATTATTAAGTGCAATTATTATTTTGATGTATCTCGGTAACTGTGTCCCATAGATATTTCCCATTTTTATTTCCTTTTTTCTTCTGGTTCTTCCGCAGCTCCTTATCTGCTTTTTATTTCCTTTGTGTAGTCATCATTATCATCATCATCATTATATAGTATAAATAAAATTGGTCTGTGTCTATATATGTAATCTTTAAAACTACGCAACGGATTTTAATAGTTTTTTTCTATAGATAGACTGGAATATAAATATATGTACATATATCAAAATTACATTTTTTACAATTTTTGTCTGTCTATCTGTCGGTCTGTTTGTTCTAAAAAAAAATTACAAATATTTGAGTTAATGATACAACGGTTATTTAATGAGTATAATTTTATATTTATATATATTCAAATGTATACTAATATTATAAAGACGTAAAGTTTGTACGTTTTTTTATGGATGATAATGGAATGGTGCACCCGCCTGCGCTATCGGTTTGCGCTGGCGGGGCACCAGTGGAGGATTATAAGATGAACATGAGGGCAGGTCAGTTAGCCCATCGAAATATGAATTTATAAGATGAGCATGAGTTCATGGTACATTGCTAGTAATGGGGAATCACCTTTCCCCAAGTATGTATGCTTGTTTGTTCGGGGTACCGGTTCTGCTGATCCGATATTAAAATTTATTTCATTGTTAGAATGGAATATTTTGCCCGAGCGTTATAGGCTATATAACATCACGTTAAGACTAATAGTAGCGGAGCAGTAGTAGCAGTATTAGAAAAAAAAAAATATTTTTCATTTTTTTTAATTAAAACATTTAGTTTTAATAATAATAATAATATATAATAATATCTTGTGACAATGTCACACAGCGCCATCTAGACAATTGACATCTAACATTTCGTTTAGTAATTATACAATCGTGATATAACATAATAAGTATTTTTTTTCGTAAAGGTTTAACATACATATTATACTTGATAGAAAACATAAAGACCGATACAAAAATCAAACTCATGAATACAAATGATTTGATTGCCGTAGTCAGAATGGAATATTTTGCCCGAGTGTTATAGGCTATATAACATCACGTTAAGAGTAATAGTAGCAGAGCAGCCATGTAAAATGTGGCAAAAATATTCATTTTTATTTATTTATTAAAACTTTATTGACCAATAAATTATAGTACAAAAGACGGACGTAATGCTATGGGCATTCTCTACCAGTCAACCTTCAGGAAATGCAGAAATACTTGATAGTGGCTTAACATTAATTGTATAAATTACATATATACTATTTTTTCTATTCTGAAGCTATACAAATATTAGATTAAACTAAAACTAAACCAGAATATAATACATATGAATAATATAACATACAATAATAATAATATACACAATATACAATACATAATATATATATATATCTTATATATAAAATTCTCGTGTCACAGTTTTCGTTCCCGTACTCCTCCGAAACTTGACCGATTCTTATGAAATTTTGTGAGCGTATTGAGTAGGTCTGAGAATCGGCCAACAGCTATTTTTCATCCCCCTAAATGTTAGGGGTAGTCCACCCTTAATTTTTTTTTTATTTTAAGGCAAAATAACGTTTGCTGGGACAGCTAGTATATATATATAAATACATACATTACTTGTTCTATGACAATAATCTTCAAATATGAGATTCATTTTTCTTTCTTCTTTCTAATCTGCCTATACTTCTAGGTGTATGTGCCGGCGCTGGTGCCCTGGCTGGTGTAAGAAACCTACTGCTTCTTCAGTCTCCGACAGCAGTGACAAACAAGACGCCAACCAACAGGTCAGTGGCTAATTATTTACTAGATTTATAACTTTATATACATATCAGGTTTTTTTTTATACTACTATGGTGGCAATCAAGGTATATAAAGGTTGTCTGGAAGAGATCACATAAGCGATAAGACCGCCTTTTGTACCGATATTCTAAATAATAATAATAATAATAATATAAATATAATTTACACAGCGCCATCTAGACATGTGTTATGGGTACTAGATAACTGATATAAATATATACACACATCATACTAATGTATATAAATGTTTGTACCGTGCGAGCAATTCGAATTCGAACAATCATACTCATGACAAATGTTTGTGCCGTGCGAGGTCATTATAATGACCATCGGTCGTAAAGCATCCAGTTACACTGTGACCGCTAGATTCCCTAGATCGTAAAAAATATTGTTTTATTTTGTATATATATATATATTTGTTATTATGGTGCAATAAAGAATAATAAATAAAAAGTAAATAAAATTAGGTATATATAATATCGGCAAATTTTTTTATGGACGATAATGGAATGGTGCCCCCGCCTGCGTTAACGGTTTACGCTGGCGGGGCACCAGTGGAAGATAAGATGAGCATGAGTTCTTTTAACTTTATATATATGTACAACAATTGTATAAAGTATCTAAATATATAAAAAATTGTATTATATTGTAAACATGTAAATGTAAATCTATAATATATTATTATTCTTGATGTATAAATAAATATAATTATAATTACATCTCAGGACAATTCACACAGCTAGTCTCGCGCTATGTAGAGCTAGTGTTAGGGGTATTTTTTTATGGATGATAATGGTGCCCCCGCCTGCGCTAACGGTTTACGCTAGCGGGGCACCAGTGGAAGATAAGATGAGCATGAGGTCAGGTCAGTTATAAATTCTTAGTGAATTTGTCACGATGGTTTCCAGGGAACCGCGGGGAGGTCAACCTGACATGGTACATTGCTAGCAATAAAATCATAAGTCCACATTACTAAAAATCACCTTTTCCCTTCGGTTATTAAGTTTCCTGAAACGAATAAAAAAATTTTTTGGGGACAGAACATTACTTATTCCTGGTTGTCTGTAAGAGATTGCTTTGAGGCCGCCTTTTGGTTGATAATCTTTATTTTTTTTATTTTATTGTAATTATTTGTTTCTTTATGCACAATAAACAGTTTTATTATTATCATTACTACTATTGCCTGATGATATTCTCTACCAGTCAAGTTAGAGTGAATAATAACAAATAAATAACCCTGGACAATTAACACAGTGCCATCTAGTCCGAAAAAATTAAAAAATATTTTATAACAGCATAAAGAATAGGAAAAGATTAACTCAACGAAAGCTAACATTACCGTCATATTTCCTTATTTTTAATGCTGTCAAGGAAATAGCCACTTACTGAAACGAGCTTCATTATAGAAATAACCGTTTATGTTTTACAAGACGAATACATAAAACTAGTTTCAATGACAATTCTTTATTAAAATAAAAACGTATTGTTTTCTCTAAGTACTATAAAAAGGGTACAACGGTACAAATTATTATATCTACGATTATATATTAATACATGAAGCAAAAACTTCTTACCTTTTTACGAAAGTAGCGCGCACGGAAGTGTATGAAATTTCACACACTTATAGTCTACTAGCTGTTCTCGCGACTTCGCCCGCGTGGAATTTAATTATATTTTACCAAAATAAAAGTAACCTAAGTTACTTCTTATTACATCAGCAACTTTCCAGATAATGTCCCGTCAAAATCGGTCCAGCCATATAGAGATTAGCCGGAACAGATAGACAGACAAAAATTGTAAAAAATGTTATTTTGATGTATGTACTGTATTTATATTCATATGCATGTAGTAAAAAACGGTTATTTCAATATTACAAACAGAGACTACAATTTTATTTATATGTATAGATATAGAGAAAGAGTATAGAATGCTATTATAAATTTAAAATATCATCACATTATATTTTTCTTTTAAGCTTTTTAATTTTAGGTTCTTAGTTGTATAATTAAGTTATGTAAATACTAGTAATAAATTAAAATTATGTAAGACATACATTAAAACAATAAAAAAAATATTACACACACTATATGCTTGATAATATATAATCTTTTGTTTAATCATGTTCGCTGGATCAAAGATTATTTTATTATTTTATTATGGTCCATTTTCGTGAGATATATAAATATACTAGCTGTACATTTTCGCGTAAATATATAAATATATTAGTTACAATATGTCAAATAAAAATCATCGTTTTAGCTTCAAAAATGATAAAAAGTAAAAATAAATATTTAATCAATAGGCTAAAAAATAAATTTCAAGCTTCTCTTTAAACATCATACATCTATGATATCATCAATCCTCTTGCAACCATTTTTCACATTAAAAAGTAACCTATGTCCTTTCTCAGATTTGATCTATGTCTGTTTCAAATTTCAATTTAAATCGGAGTCTGTAATAGACCTACATGAATAAAGATATTATGAATTTGGAATTATGAATTTTGAATTTTGAATATATAATATAAGAAATAAGTGTTGCTTATGTCAATATTATGTAAATTTTAAATGGAATGAAAATCCATCCAATAGTTTTTATTAATGTCTATAACATATAGATTGAGGGTGATATGATATTATAATTTATATATCTTATATATAAAATTCTCGTGTCACTATTTTATTTTTTCGTTACAAACAATGAATGTCATATGTATTTATATTTAATCTCCTCCGAAACAAAAATGGTTTTAAAAACCGATTCTCATGAAATTTTGTGTCATATGTATTTATATTTAATTGAGTAGGTCAAAAATGAGAATCACCTTGCATCCCTATTTTACCAACATCTGTCATTTTTTTTTCATCCCCTAAATGTTAGGGGTAGTCCACCCCAATTTTTTTTTATTTTCAAACAACGTTTGCCGGGACCTAGTAATATATATAAGTCATTTTTTTTCACAGTAATATAGCTTATATATTTAAAAAGACAAGAGATTTATTTTTCTATTAAATTTTTATTTTTTTTTTATGATATAACATACAAAAATACATGCAATCCTAAGTTTTCACCCTTCTATCATCAACCCCTATTTTGTTATAGCGTTATTAATTTATATGGCAAAACAACGTTTGCCGGGACAGCTAGTATGTTATAAAAATTACATTCAAAATACGAATTTTGTGGAGTTTAAATGACATTTTGAAGATCTACATCATCATGAGGTTATCATAAATTAATAATAGGGATGTCAGGGAGCTTCGTAACCGTAACCGAAACTATCGGATATCCGATATAAAAAAATATCCGTAACCGTAACCGAATCCGAAATAATAGTTTCGGATAATATCGGATAGGGGCGGAGCCTAATTGAGACACGTTATGTAACCATTTTATTAGCTGTTTGTATTTTAATTTAGATATTCCTTAAAAAAATAATATCCGCAACTGAAATTATCTGATACTAACGGATGATCCGAAATAATTTCATATCCGCATCCGTATCCGTATCCGGTATAATAATCATTCCTATATCCGAAATCTATCCGTATCTGAAATTTCATATCCATAACACCTCTAACTATTCCATCTATGATAAGTCACGATGGTTGAAAAATATAAAAATAATAAGAATCTCTAAGCGGAACTAGTTACTAAAATAACGTTAATTAAAACAACATTTGGGTAGCGAAATGTTCTCAATAACCTAATTCGTAGCGACGTAAATGACATAATTGTGGAGCATTGCACTTTCCCGCGCTATTCGTATAATGTAAACATTGAAAATAAAGGATAGAGTAATAATACGGCACAGCTCGTTACCACAGATACAGAATATACTTATATTTAGGCTACAGAATATATAATAGTACCGTAGACTTCACACAAATTTGCATGCACGCTAGCATACTGTAATGGCCAGTATTTTTCCAGCGCTATTTCGAGTAAAACAAAAAAAGAAAGTCGTTTGATTACAGTTCCCGCCAAACAAGAGAGAAATCATAGACAATAGTGTAGTGTGTATTTTTAGGGATTTGTAGAAATAGAAAAAATAAATACCGACAAGCGTCACTAGGAATACTTTTTTTTTAATCTGTGTAACCAATTTTTTTAACACGGCATATTTGAAAGCGATATTTTGAATACATTAAGGTCGAAGTTTATATTAGCATGCGGAATCTCATTTCAGTTCCAACAGAACAATTTCTGTTTGAAACTGTGCAGGTTTTTTTAGAAGCATTATAACTTAGCAGACCATTTCCATTTTGGTTTAATCATTATAAAGGCGGAGCAAACTTTTGTAAAAAGTAATATTAATTTAATTGCTCCTCTGAAAATAAAATATACAGTCAGTCCTCGAGGTATGTCGTTTTGATTTACGTCGCATGAAAAAATATGTCAGGATTTACGTCCTTTCGATTTACGTCGCATATTTCGAGAACCTACATCCCGTAAGTACGAGGACTGCCTGTGTATATCATAACGCAAGCATTTTTGCATAGGTCTTATATTTTTTATTATATTATCGAGTAGGGTTTTTTTTAACCTATATATACATATAATATAACATGTAATATTATCTTATCTGTGGCTAGACGAAGACTTTGTACTATAAACTATTATATTACAAACTATTGCTATTGGCCGCAGCTGACCTTTTCTTCTTCACCGATCATAAATTGAGACGAGTGCAGAGGGGACTCCAAACCCACGAAAGGTGTTATAGAGCGACTGAGGATAAACTCCCGTCTGATGGATACCACTTTAGTCTAAGCACAGTGTTAGGGTCTTGAACTTTAGCTTAGGCCGTCGTAATTTCGATAGAATGGGACACGGGGTCAATCCGAGGGGAAATACCAATAAAGTGACATATGGGCGTCATAATATATATTATGTTGTTGTCATATTTCGTGCTGCTGTTTCGATCTATTAGATTATTGGAAGTACATGCATATATATGTCTTGAGACGTATTAAATACATAT